GAGCAAACTTTAAGATTTGTGGACTTCAACTCCCAGAATTCCTCAGGCAGCCATGTTGGCTGAGGAATTCTGGGAGTTGAAGTCCACAAGTCTTAAACTTGTCCAGGTTGGAGGCCCCTGGACTAGAACATGTCCTGAATTCCAGAAATGTCCTCCAGGAAAACCTCACATCTGGATTGACGTGGTCCAGAGGAAGGAAGGACAATCTCCAAAATGTTCCAGAATCTCCCCCCCCCCCCCCCCCCCCCCCCCCAAATTCCACCTACTTCCCGGTCCGTCCATCCCAAAGCTTGATTGACTTGTCGAAGGATGCGCTGGCGATGGTGCGGGTGTCAGGGGAGAAGACGACTTGATTGATTAACGCTTGATGGCCCGTCATTCTTGTCAACGGCTTCTTATCTTCGGCGGGAAGCCAAAGAAACAAAGTGAAATCATCTGATCCAGAGACCAGCCGTTCCGGTCCTTGGCCCTGAGGAAGAAAAGATTAAAAATAATAATAATTGTGACTTTTGTGAGGAAAACAGATGATTTTGTGTTTTTTTTTAAAAAAAGTTATTTTTTTATTTTAACAACAAAAACAAACAAATAAAACCATTTTTCAGTTCAAGTGTGTCGGTTGGGTACATATATCCTGTGCACATAATATTATTATCATACATTTCTTACTTGTTTTTATATATATAAAACCATTCTAATCAGTATTTTATCTCACATTGGTCCATTATTATATTATCATTAATATTGTAATTATTATCTTTCAAAAACATATTTCATCCTTACCTAAATTATATTCATTCTCTTGCTCAATCTAAGTCAATGAATTGTAATATATTGTTCCTATTATTGCATGTTTCCGTTTCTCACTCTTGAAAACAGAAGATTTTGAAACAGCTTTGCATTTGGGTATTGTCATGCCCCTGTTGAAGTCTGACTCCAGAGGTTGGGGAGGAGGCTGGGGAAGGGCAGAGGCCGGCTGGGCAGTCAGAGGAAGACCCAGGCCCATCCCCTCTCCATCCTAGAGCACGCAGGGAGGAGAGGTTAAGGGAGAGACGTGAATGGCATGGTCTACGGGGGAGGAAAGGGCCCTGATCCCCTTCATGGGCTGCAGCTGTGAGAACTGGTTAAAAGGACGGACATGCATATGGGCCAATGCTGGAAACAAAGCATGGAAATCTCTCTAGTCTGTCGTTCCTCTCTGAGTTTGGCATCCTTTCCAGTGTGTATTCCGATATCTGTGGACATCTTCAAGCCCTTATCATGCCTGGTTTCCTTAATTGCTTCAGTGTGGTTTGTGTTGTTTTTACTCTTTATAATTTATAAGCATTTTTAGTTTAAACGGCATTTCCTCCTTTTCGTAACTGCTTGTGGGGGAGTTTTTTTTGTCTCCAGTCAAGGATATTTGGAGCTTTGAAGCTAAGTTGAAGGAATAAAAGGGGCTTCACTTGTTTTTGTGACTCTGTTTATTTTGTATCCCACCCTGGGTCATCACAGGTATTTATCAGCCCAGCGCACAACTTGAGCCTTTGGAACTCACCACCATAAGCACTTAGCAAAAAGGCCCAATGTTTCCACAAAATACCTTCACGTATATAACTGACTTACAACAATTGAGCCCAACACTTCTGTTGCTAAGTGAGGCCGTTACTAAGTGGATTTTGCCTCATTCTACAACCTTTCTTGTCACAACTGCTAAGTGAATCATTGCGGATGTTAAGTTAGTCCCACGGTCGTTAAGCAAATCTGGACTTTGTTTGCCAGAAGGTCACAAAAAGGGATCATGTGACCCCGGGACAATGAAACCGTCATAAATACGAGTCAGTTGCCAAGCGTCTGAATTTTGATCGGGATGTTGCAACAGTCGTAAGTATGCCCTAGCCTTTTCAGTTTTTTCAGTGCCTTGTAATTTCGAAAGGTCATTAAACCAACGGTCGTATGTTGAGGACTATTTATAGTCCTTATATCAATTTATAAGCCAAGTGCACAATATGAGCCTTTGGAATTCGCTGCCACAAGAGTGTAGCAAAGAGAGGATTCCAGCCTAAATTTAAAACGTTTTATTGATAGTTGGAAAGCTTTGGGGATAGGAGCGATGGAAAACGCTTTCTCCTATAGAAATAGTCCAAGTGACTTGTGACTGGTCCTCGCGCTTACGACCGTCACAGCATCCCCATGGTCACACGTGCTTAAAAATTTGGATGTTTGGCAACCAGAATGTATTTATTATGATGGATGTGATCCCCTTTTTTGACCTTTCCAAGTGACTTTCTGGCAAGCAAGGTTAATCGGGGGAGTTGGATTTATTTAACGACCCTATGATTCACTTCAAAACTTCAGCGATTCACTTAAAAACCATCGCAAAAAAAGGGTTATGAAATAGAATGTCACTCTCCTATCAGCTGCTTCGTTTAGCAGCAACGGAAGTTCCGGTGTCAATTGTGGTCAGAGATCGAGCCGTACCTGCATTGCAAATGGGAGACGGGTAGCAAAATGTTACATGGAATTGTTGAGGCCTGTCGGCCGCCAGCCCCACCGGCAGCCGAATCGGAGGAGGAGGGGAAGGTGTGGGAGGCAGGATCAGCATCGGGGCAACCTGAGAGCTCCGAGGGGGAAGAGGAAGTGGAGCTGGTAGAGAGACGGAGGCGGAACCTGGGCCTTCCGTCAGCCCTCAGATGGTGAGTCAACAGCCCCCAGGTCTGGAGGCGGCTGATGAGGAAGAGGAGGAACAGCTGGGCCCAGTGACGGACACACAGATGCACAGAAGGCAGAGGAGAGGAGAGCAGTGGAAATCTATGGGTCGGTCCTTGGGACGGAAGAGCCACCGCTGTTAGCGAAGCCCCTACTCAAGCTCTGGGGATAAAAGGCAGGGGGCGGAGATGAATAGATGTGACAGACAACTATTCATCTCCCTGCCGGTTGGACTTGTTAGCCTGCGGTAAGAGAGAAACATTTTTGGCGGGGCTATTGGTGCTCCTAATAAAGGAATCTTTTGAGTTAACTTCCGAGGGTTTGTCGTGTTTGGGGAGCTGGGTCAAAACAGGAATATTCTGATTTAAAGATCTTCCTAGCCAACTGGTTCAGTCTAATCCATTCTAAAGTTAAGATTCACAGTCATAAATTGAATCTGAATTTCATCCTCTTTGGTAGCCTTCAGTGAAACAACACCCCCCCCCCCCCAAAAAAAAATAATAATAATCATTTTTAGAAGGAACCTCCATTGAGATGGCAACACAGGAGGTTGCATGGACGTGAGCTCCATCCGATAATTTTAAAATGCATTCTAGAAATATTGGGTAGCAGCATGTATGTATGTATGTATGTATGTATGTATGTATGTATGGTATTCAGCTTTGTTCGGGTATTTTCCCATGTCATTGTAGTTGTGCTTTTAAAGTTGTAGCAATGTTTCGGCAGAATCTCATCTGCCATCATCAGGCTTCTGTATATATTTAATTAATTGAAGCATCACAATCAACTATGCTTTGACTCCAGCAAGCTAGGTTTACTGCAGAAGTGTTGCTTTGCTAATAAAAAAGAATGTAAACGAAAAAATCACTTTTTGAAGACCTTCCCATCTTAAATTAAATATTCAATGTCCAATTGGCAAAAAATTGGGGAAAAAGTATCTGAGATTCTTACCCGGATTTGATTGTATCTCAATAGTGCGTTTTGCTTGATTTCCGCCACTGTAAGAAAAGCAAAGGGAAGGATAAATAGGATGTATGGATGTTACAGGTAGTTCTTGCTTAACGACGGTAATTGATTAGAATCAGAATAGAGCTGGAAGGGACCTTGGAGGTCTTCTAGTCCAACCCACTGATCAAGCAGGAAATCCTAGACCATTTCAGACTAGTGACTGTCCAGTCTCTTCTTCAAACCTCCAACGATGGAGCACTCACAATTTCTGGTGGCCAGCTGTTCCACTGGTTAATTGTCCTCACTGTTAAGAAGTTTCTCCTCAATTCCAGGTTGCTTCTGTCCTTGATTAGTTTCCATCCATTTTTTTCTTGTCTGGCTTTGGAGAATAAATTGACCCCCTTTTCTTTGAGGCAACACCTTAGATATTGTAATACTGCTATCATGTCTTCCTCTAGCCATTCTTTTCTCTAGACTGGCCAAACCCAAATCCTGAAACCCTTCTTCATATGGTTTAATCTCTAGGCCTTTTTATTTGCACTTCTCTGAACTTTTTCAAAAACCTCAACATCTTTTTTGTAATGCGAGAACCAAAACTGGCTGGAGTATTCCAAGTGTGACCTTACTAAAGGCTTTATAAAGCAGTACTGATACTTCACGTAATTTTGATTCTATGCCTCTGTTTATACAATCAAGAATTGTGTTAGCTTTTTTGGTGGCTGCTGCACATGTAAGATAACCTTAATTGTTATGTACCTGCATGCACAATGACACACGTTAAAATAAAACTGACATCCTGTTCTCGAAAGAAGGAATACCACCCACCAAACAATTTAAACCCCCAAGGATAACAATACCAAGGATTAATGATACCAAGATAATAACAACAGCAACACCAAAATGCGAAGTTATACAAAAATGGCACTGAAAACGTATATTAATCACAGTCCATTTTAAAGACCTAACAGAAAAGAAAGTTTTGAGAGTTAACACGGGTTATGTTACACGGGGAAGATCTGTTACTAAATCTTGTTGTTCTGAGATGGGAATTTCCATCGCTAAGCGATGTAGTCACAAAGCGTGACATCGTATGACTGCATCACTTAGTGATGGCCATACCGGCAGCGCCTGTTGCTGTCATTAAACAGGGACGGTGGGTTGTTAAGCGAGGAGCTCCTTGCAACTTCCTAAGGGCTTCCCCAATGCAAATATATTGGAGAAGCCAGGAGGAAATTGCAAATCCAGGCAGCTCACAAGCAGACTGGAGAGCACCGAGTGGCTGCTACTGGGCAAGGGATGGAGTGTGAGTGGACGGAGGAGGGTGTGCAGATGGGTGGCATGGCAACAAGCCCCTTGCAACCTTCTCTGCTGGCTTCCCCACTGACCTTGCCTTTGGAAAGACGGCAGGGAAGGTTGCAAATGGTGAATATGCGACTTTAGGATGCTACAACCATCATAAATACAAGCCAGTTGCCAAGCACCAAATCATGATCAGGTGACTGCAAGGGCCCTGGAGCAGTCGTAACTTCGAGGACTGGTTGTAAGTCACTTTTTTTCAGAGGCACTGTTACTTCAAACAGTCCCTGATCGAATGCACATAACTCCAAAACTACCTGTCCTGCGAGAAGAACAAAAGGTCCATTTCGCTGAAAATTCAACATTCTACATTGCTTGGCTGATTCTGCATAAAATAGTCTTATCACTTGAAAGTGCTGCTCATAATATTCTATTAATCCAATGTGGTGCTCAATTCCCCACGCGGTGGGACCCGGGTGCAACATCTTTTAAACTCTGCCAAGCCGATTGTATGACTTTTTCCCTTTGGTTCGATGCCTTGTGAAACTTACTCTACAACAGGAGTATCCAACTTTCTCAGATTTAAGATCTGTGGATTTCAACTCCCAGAATTCCCCAGGTGCTGAAGTCCCCAGGTCTTGTGAAGTCTAGGAGTTAAAATCCCCCCCTTCCCAAAACATGCTGACTGGGGAATTCTGGGAGTTGCAATCCACCCACCTTAAATTCCCCCAAGGTCAAAAAACATTTGATCAAGGCATGCCACATGCTCTTACATGATCCGCTCAAATCCTGGGGGTTGATAGAAGCTTTGGCTGGCTCAAAGGCTCCTGTCCGGAGAACATAATCCGTGCTGAGGGCCATGGTGTTGACCCAGTGCGCATGGCCCTGCAAGGTACGGCACAGGATGCCCTGAGGACAACAAAAATGCCAGGCATCGATCACTTCCCTCCATTCATTCTGTGGAGAGACCCCCCCTTCTCCTGAAAAGATACTAAGCCCCCTTGACTCGTCCCTCCAAATGTGGCTGCAGGGGAGAAGACAGGAAGCATTACCTGGTCCAGTGGTTAAGGCATCTGGCTAGAAAGTGGGAGATGGTGAGTTCTGGTTCTTCCTTAGGTATGAAATCCAACTGAGTGACTGGGTGCCAATCAACCAGGAGAGGGTGAGTTCTAGTCCTGCCTTAGATATGAAACCCAGCTGGGTGACTATGGGCCAATCACCAGGGGACAGTGAGTTCTAGTCCTGCCTTAGATATGAAACCTAGCTGGGTGACTATGGGCCAATCACCAGGAGACAGTGAGTTCTAGTCCTGCCTTAGATATGAAACCCAGCTGGGTGACTATGGGCCAATCACCAGGAGACAGTGAGTTCTAGTCCTGCCTTAGATATGAAACCCAGCTGGGTGACTATGGGCCAATCACCAGGAGACAGTGAGTTCTAGTCCTGCCTTAGATATG